CAATATGAAGAAAACAAATCAAATGTGCTCTTTGTTACATTAAATATGAACAGATTGAATTCTATTAAAAGCAAAGACTATCAGATTAGTTTAATAAAAAAGAAAAACCACCCACCTATATACTGTTTAAAGAAATAATATATACGATACATGTAAGTAATGTCATGACTAGTTTATAGTTGTGTTTTTCCATTTATTTAAAAATCCAATTTAATTCCTTAAATGAATTCCTTGACGGAGGCCTTCAATAAACATGAAAACTGTTGGGGGTCTACTTGAAGGTATCCTTGGGGAAATGGATAATTAAGGGAAAGTTTAAAAAATGAATAGGGAGGGTATGATGATCAATCAGAGATTCCACCCCTGACTCACAAACGAGATTTCTTTGGTCCCTAGGCAGACCTGGAGGAAGAAAGAATACGGCAGAAAATAGCAGAAAGGACCTCAGAAGAAAAGATACGGATTTACTCTTTGAGACTGTTTTTGAACTGTATTGTTCTGGCTGTCCTAGCAGCATGCTTCTATGCAATCTACAGAGCCACTATATTCTCGCAAGAACACTTGAAAAAAGTAAGGACTGCATGAAAGTCAATTTAACTTTTACTCTGGTTGGACATGATGCTAAGTGCTTTGTAAACCTCTGAGGCAGATACCATCATCACTTCTATTTTACATGTGGGGATACAAATTTGGCTGATAGAACAGAGAACCAAAATTGAGAGGTGGCCATTTTCCATTAAAAAAAACCCAACATCCGAAATAGTGTATTTGGGATACCTGTTTCTCCTGGAATTCACAAATTCAAATGCAGCTGGATTGCCTGATGTAATCCCCAAGTCCTCTACTTACCTTGTTGGGGGCCTCAGTTTACCCAAAATAATAGGGGTTTTAAAAACCCAAGTTGATTGTGGCTCTGCTACATGAAATCAATCATCAGGGGCCCAGGTTCCTTCCATCTTGTGGCTCTGCCATTCTTAGAGCGTGGCCCTCTTCTGTATGGTACTTGATAGCTTACCACGTCCACATTCCCAGCCAATGGAAAGGAGGTGGGGAGGGCACACCCCTCTCTTTCAAGGCCATGACCTGAAGGCTGTGCTTAAAACTTCCACTCCCATCCCTTTGGCCAGAATGTAGTCAGATGGCTGTTCCTAGCTGCAAGGGAGGCCAGGACATATAGTTTTATCCTGGGTAGCCATATCTGTGGCTAAATAGTCTATTATTATGAAAGAAGGAGAGAATGGCTATTCTAAGTCAATAAGTATTGCAGCCTTGAAAATACTCAACGTTGACCATTGATAACAGATTACATGGATTTTTTTATACCTCACCTAAATTAATTCAATAGAGCTCATTTTTCTTCTAGTGTGGTATCAGCTAATGTTTCCTCTATTTGAACACCTGAAGAAGGAGATGGCTTATCACTGGGGGCTGTGTTGAATGGCATACAAGTTTCGTTTTGTTTGTTTGCTAGTGAACATGTTTAGTTGAGTTTTTTTCTCCCAGTTTTATTGAGGTATAATTGACATACCGCATTGTGTTAGTTGAAGGTGTACAGCATAATGACTTGACATAGATATAGCTGAGGTTCTTCAGGGTCAACTCATTTGTGATGCAACATTCCTTATTCTGCTCTTGACCAGTTTTGTTATCTTCATAGGAAATTGACAAGATGGTTTTTGGAGAGAACCTCCTGATATTGTACCTGCCTTCTATCGTGATCACGCTGGCCAATTTTATCACCCCGATGATCTTCGCCAGGATCATCCACTATGAGGACTATTCCCCAGGCTTTGAGATCCGGCTGACAATCCTTAGGTAATGCCTAGACATGCCAAGCAGATCACCCACCACTTGCCCTTGGCAGACATTGCTAATCAATTGTGGCACCTTTTCCTGCTGAGCCAAGAAACCTCTTCAGTGTTCAGACAACCCCCATGAATGAATTAGACTTTGCACATGCCGTGAAATCTCTTGGATTTAAGAGTCTGCTCATCAGTATTATATTTTTTGGTTCATGTATCAGCACTTCGACAGCTGAGGGTTTAGGGTGCGGCCCTAGGAGGAGGTGTTGCTCTGAAGATGTTAGAGATGACAAAGGGTGTGATTGGGCAAGTTGCTGCTGTTTAGCTACGGGGCTCAGTCCTACTGGATAACTCGGAGTTTGTGTGGGCAAATCTGAGAGCTTCCCCACTAAACCAGATATTCAGCCTCTACTGCCTAAGGGCGACCACTCCCAGAAGCATTATGAACACCCCCCCCACTTCTACCCACTAATCCCACGCATGGGCCTTGGGTGGAGAGTTACAAGCACTTGCAGTAGGAATCTGGAGCATTTGCTGGAACAGCGTGTGCTCCAGTTGACTTTTCATAAGTTGCTGTGATATCGCTTCTCATTTCAAAGAAATACTCAGTGTCATTTAAAACATGACAAGTGTAAAGCAGGGTGCATCGAGTCGACCCAAATAAGTTGAAGAGGACCAGGTGGGGGCACCGTGTGAAACTGAAGCATTTTCTTTCTGCATTTCAAATGTCTCAGATTGTATTTGCATATCTTTTTCTTTTAAGACAACTTTTGATTTCAGAAATTTTCATACGGAACAAATGGTATCACGAATGCCCCAGTCTTGTTTCAGCTACTCCCCCAAACCAGGATCTAAACAAAGGCCCTGAGCTGCACTAGGTGGTTATGTCTCTGAGGCCCCTTTTATTCTTTTAAGAAATCTCCCTCCCCTTGTGTTACGCCCTTGATTTCTGGGAGAAACTGGGGTACCTGTCCTGTAGAATGTCTGCTAGTCTGGATTTAGCACATTGTTTCTTCATGGGGTGTTTTGTTTTCTGTACCCGTAGTCTCTCTAAACTACTACTGTGTAGATTCAGACTTCTTAGTAGATTCTGTTTCAGTTTTTGGTTCTGGAAACCTCGGTGGATGCTGAGTAATGAGAACAGTGAGCAGATGGTGTGGACTTGCTTCTTTCTCTCTCCCACTTTATAATGTCCCTATTTTATTTTTTTTATTGCAAACCAAACAATAGAAAAGCATCTTTAAAAAAAAAANGTCCTTGGCTTGTGTTTCAGGGTTTCTTGGAGAAGACCAGCCTCTTTTATGGACATTATACCATTGACAGGGTGAAATTTCAGAACTTCACCTATGATCTGCCCCTGGCTTATTTGTTAAGCACAATCGCCTACCTGGCCCTGAGCCTTCTTTGGATAGTGAAAAGGTAACGTGTTTATCTTATCATTGTGTGTTTTCTTTCAGTTACGCTGATGGCGGGAGTTGATCGGAGATCATGGGCTCTGTGAACCATTGCCCAAAGGATTTGCAGAATCCAGGGTTGGGCTTTGTCGGGGAAAGATTTGTGGGTGTGTTGGAGGCTGTGGAGACCCGGAGATGATGGAGGCAGGTTTTGGGAGCTGAAACAGTGGCCTGGAGTTCTTCACTCCATCATTATTGTGCACATTTGCCAAAGCCATTCCCCCCTCCCCCCAACCTTATCTTTGATCTGGATGGAGTGTATGCTAACCAGGCCCCTGCTTAGGTTGCAAATGGCAGAAATCCAACTCTAACTCACTGGGACAAAGAGGAATTGAGTGGCTCAGAGAACCAAGGAAGGGAAGAAACCTCAATTATAGGAAGGACAGGATACAGGCATGGCTTTGAAACATCCAAAAGCAAGAGCTCCTTTATCTCTAATTCTTCCGGGGGCAGCTTCCTTATGTGGACTCTCTGGGTTGCAAGTTCAGAAATCCTTTGAGGAGACGTATTGGTTCTGCCTCATTCAGATACCCAACCCTGACCCTTCAACCATGGCCGATGGGTCAGAGTCACATGAGAACATGGCATTTTCCATGGTAGACAGGTGGTTGAGTGGGAGATGCTAATTCCCAAGAAAAGACAAGCGAGGAATATTACTTACTAACAAACAATGTCCCCAAAACTACGACAGCCCAAACACAGCAGAAGTTATATATCTTTCTTGCATGAGGTTCTGAGTGGGGCTTAGTCACTCTGGGTTAATCATCCTGGGACTTGAGTTGGCCTAAGTTCAGCCATCTTCAGGGTGTGGCTCTGAAGTTCTTTCGCGGACTGGAAGGGAGGACCCCATGGAGGAGTATCACGCGGGAGGTGTTTATGGGCTAGGACCCACATCACTCAGATTCCATTGACTCCAGCTTAGTCACATGACCGTAGTGAACTGCAAGAGAGTTGTCCCTGGCTAGCAGCCACTTCCCAGCACTGACATTATGTTATGGCAGGGGAACCAAAAATTTCTGGGAGTCTGCATTTTGCAAAAGCACCCCAGGGGGTTCGGATATAAATTCTTCACTGTGAACCTTTGGTGGAATGACTTATTGCTATAATTCCTTCCACTTCTTATTGTCTTCACAATTCACTAGCAAATCCTAAAACACCCTGTTTCATCTACAGTGGGTGGCATTTGACATATTTGTATCCTCAGGTACCAGAGTGTATTTTTTCCACGAAAGCATTTGCATGCATAGCAGTTATGAAGTGTACGACAGAGTTGCATCTGACCTAAACAGGTGCTCATGAAATATTTGGTTAATTTACTATTTAAGTCATTTATTCGTTCATTTATTCATCAATTGGATAATGGCCACATTATGGTCCAGGTATTCTGGATATAAAGGTGGCAAGGCAGCCAGTCAGTGTAACTGTCCTCCAGGAATTTATAATTGGGAGTAAGGGGCTATAAGCAGTAAACAGATAAGTGCAGAGTAGGCTCATTGCTGGGAAGGACATGAAAGAGGCTAAGTTGAAGTGGGAGTCATAACTTCAGGTGGGGTGGTGGTGAATCCGTGAGGGGAAATTTGAGCTGAACCCTGAAAGATAGGAAGGAGGCAGCAACAGAAAGAGGCAGGGAAGAACTGTCCTAGGAGAAGGTAGCAGGAGCTGTAAGCGCAAAGGCCGTGAGGCAGGAGCAGAGGTTTGTATGTTTATGAAAAGGAAAAACAGCCCAGTGTAGTGGGGTGACCGGTTAGCTCAGTTGGTTAGAGC